GTGACAGTGAACGTGCAGCGAATAATTCGGGAAATTGTTTTTGCGGCATGGCAAATTCGGCGATATTTATCAAACGAACCTTGTGATTTAAAAAAAATATTGCACACTTGTTTAAAAAAGGTGGGAAATAAATCCAAATGTACTTCCGTGTTTTTAAGTCGCAGAAGACACAATTCTTTTAATTAAATTATTGCCTGAGTGCATTTGGTCCAATGAAAATGCTTGAATTTTCAAAACAAATCTCAGATAATCAAATTTTTAAAATTTAAATTCAATCATGCTGTTTCGTAGTTTATTTTCAGCCAGTGTCATTGGCTAAAAGTTACATATTTGTGTTTTCAAAGCACACAAAATATTCACGACCAAATGGAATTCCTGCCGTCGCAAATGTCACCTTGTTATTTGCGTCCAGGCTGGAAGGTCGCATTTGACTAATTGATGTAACCATGACGATTTCGAACAGACCTTGAAAAGGAAATTATTCTGCAAGTGGACATTTTTCGCCTAAATGTTTACTTCGAAAAACGAAAAAAATTGTTGCTCTCTTTCCCGCCGGTTTAATTCCCATAGGAATTGTCTTCTTTTTGAATTAAATTGCTTTCTCGAGCAGCCTCATTGGATGAGAACAATTTTAGCGTAAAAATTTTTATAATTTAGCAGAATTTTGCATGCTTGTGTCGGGTTATCTCCATCCTGCTTATCAGGTTAATTGTACTTTAGCTTTCATCGTCGTCTTGAGATCACGGTTGACATGAAAGAGGCATTTGAGTGGTCAGTCATCGTGTCACTTCAAGCGACAGTGCGCAGTGAACAGTTAGTGTTAACTCGAATAATCGGCGCCAATTTGACTGACCTAATGTCAGAATTCGGGGATGTTATTTCTCACTGCAAGTTGCGCATTCATTGGACAAACGTTCGACCAATCAGACACGCAGCCGAGGAGTGGAAGGCTTGCTGAATGCCCTGTGACTTCCTGTTGTTCAACATCACCTCACACACAACCAGCAAATAACTAAACCGCTTTAGGTTCTAAATCTTTTTTCGGAGCTCAATGAACTTTTACATTGAAAATGGTGCATTTTACTAAAAAGTGCTTGTTAATTTGTATGGTGTCACATTTCGAATAATTTGTACACACCGTTTCCTTCATTTCAAACTAACCGTGCGCCGTCCTATTGGCTCATCGGCTGGCGTGACACTCTATTTAACCGAGACTAGCAAAATGACTCAAATAATCAATAAGAACTATCTAACATTGTCTCAACTGGAAGTTTTGCTGAATTCTGTGTGTCTCCCATAGGTGGAGCCATGTTGTTGGATGACGTACACGACGCATCGAGACACACAGGCCACGCTTCAAATCCTTGACCGCGCTGAAATGGACGCGAGCGAGTGCACCGACGTGGAACTCTACAAGCGCTTCGGCCTGGACGAAAAGTACGAAGACAACGAGCTCTCCTGTTGGCAGCGCGTTCGACCAAAGATTTGGGCCACATTTGAGGTTCCGCACTCGTCGCTGGCAGCAAAGGTGAGTGCATGTCAGACGACTTCCCGGAAAGCCAAAAACTTCCATGAAACACCGTCAACCAATAGGAGTGCCGACTAGTGGGCTAGATTTCCTTGACAGCCTGACATTTCACTGGAATGTGTTTCCATTAAGAGTTTAACTAACACAACTTTGTGGACATAACTGAAGAAATCTGTCAAGGAAGGTGGACGTCTTGACGGTCTAAGCAGATGTTTTGATCATACACCATACCACCCAGAAGCTGTCAATTTGAAAACCTATCGACAACAGGCAGTTCCTCTCAATTAGTGAAAAGGTCACCGACGGCAGGAATTCACGTCGAATTGGATGACCTCTTCTGTTGCTGACTGGTTATTCCAACAGTGCGACTCTTCTTCCACGGACAACTGAGATTAGTTTTGAAAATTCAAGCATTTTCATTGGACCAAATGCACTCAGGCAATAATTTAATTAAAAGAATTGCGCCTCCTACGACTAAAAAAATGAAAGTACATTTAAATTTTATCTTAAAAAAAAACGCTTTATGACGTAAATGGTTTGGCTTAATTTCCTGCATTGAATTTCACTGGCTACATTAGTGCCTTTTTTAAAAAGTGGAAAATTTTTTTTTTAAATAGTGACAAGAGTAGTTTAATTAATGTCCCCAAATTTGTCAAGTCGCAAAAAAATTTCCCCGTGTTATCTGTTATACATTCTGAATATCTCATATTGTTTTGTGGTGTTAGTGTCATAAAACTAGAGCTGTTTTCTGCGTCGAATTAATTAGAAAACGCATGTTTCTTGTTAAACATCACGCGAATGTTGCCGAACGCCTACTGTTGCACATATTGCTGCCAAAAAACGTATTTGGAGAAGATAATTTCATGCAATTTCCGTTAACTGTCACAAGCTGGCTAATTTTGCAGCAATTGGATACCCGCCAGCCAATGAGAGGCCCAATAGGTGGGCAAGAGTTTCCCAGTGGCCTGAAGTTTCACCAAAACTAACAATCGTTAAAAGCAGTCAATGAAGAAGTAAGCAGAACATGTTTGTAAAATTTTGTGCATATAAATGTACGAAGCACCAATGTCTCTTCTTGTTACCAATCAACAACCTGTGCAGATTTCGTGTGTTAACCAATTGCCACAAAACTAATCACAGCAGTTTTGGAAACATCAAATCAACAATTTGGGAAAATACGCTAGCAAAAACTGGGTGATTGGTCATCCGTGGTGTGGTTGTTTGTAGCTCCGCTTGTGCAAAACTTTCGGCGTCCCGATACATTCCTGATACGTAAGCACGAAACCAACGGCAGGGAACACGTCGAATTGGATGATCTCATTTCTTACTACCTGGTTATTCCAACAGTGCGACCTCTCTTCAACGGCCAACTGTTCCCACCGGATTCGGCAGTCTGTACTTTCTAGTCACTTCGCAAAATGCCACGTGCCATTGGTGATTTGTGTGGCACACGCTTGTGGGATGTTTGCGTGGCTGACTCACTACGGAGCTTCAACAAATGCCATCACATCGCCAACGTGGTGTCCACATTCTGGAATGCGCCTTCTAGATTGTGTAAAGTGGACTGGTTTCGTTGCAATCAACTGCTTTACCTCGATGTCTAAGGTTTCAGAACACTGCGTTTTGAGTGGAACGTCGACAGAATGCGTACTTTCGTTGAACTAGATGGTGGGTAGCGAGAGCATGCAACATCGGTTGTAGTGACTGTTCACAGAAGCACACGATAAATGCTTGCGTGGGTGATCGCAGGACCCACGTTTGTCTTTCTGCCTCGTCGTGTGATGCAGAGCTTCGCCAAACGCCCATCTCTTCTGGGTCATGTGTTTCCGTGGATGGGTTAGGAATTGGATTTGCCGTGCCTTGAAATGCGTTGTGTGGACGTACTTGTGACAGAAATCATCAAGATTTGACTGGCCATTGGGTGGAGAGGCGGGACATTCAAATCTCCTCAGTTTACCTAATTTTCTGAACTTTTACAAGTTTACACGACAGGAGTGTGTGGTGGACTGACGGCCACCTCGCGTGAGTGATGCGTGCATGAGGGCTTGAGTGGACCAATGACTCACCCGTTTTGTTATTGGCCTCTGGCAGCATTCGCCTGTTACTCACGCGTACTCATACGCACACAATGCCACTTGGCTGGTTTGACGCTGATAAATGGTCGTGTTCTCTGTCGCCGCTTTTTCCCCTTTCCTCGGGTAGTTACGGCCTGTTAACTGGAGGGTTGTAAGGCAGTGCTGATTCTCTAGTCACTACAGGAGAATTTTTGATTCTGCACAAAATCGCGTCAGTCTGCCTCACAAAAATCACGCACGACAGTCGTGGTAACTAACGGCGTTGATAACATGTCCGATCGTCCGCGTTTTCGATTGGTTAACACCAGGGGCCTTTCTGCTCATGGGCGCTAGCACACCTTCCAAGGTCAAATGTTACACTAACCGCCAATTTACGGTTTTTTTGCATTTTACCTCAAACCACGCACATATTTGCCTCGTTTTCTGATCTAACACTTCCAGAGGTCGAACAGTTGATGCTTCCGTGCCTGCACTGTGCTTATCTCTGTTTTCATCTCAGTTTTTTATTGCATTGTTCGACGAATTTTGAAGACCTGGCATTCCAGTCTATTTTCTTACAATTAAATCTGAACAGCCTGTGCAATGCGAAAATTCTCTAAAAAGACTCGATTCTGGTTAATGGAGTTGATTGAAGGCTAACCAATCCTCCTCTGCGCATTCAGTTGGTCTGTTTGATTTCAATTGGTTTAAACAACTTTAAAAATAGGTAATGAAATATGCGAGGGCGGAATTAAACGAGGCGTGGAATGCGGCCACCGTTTTGTTTAAATTTGCAGCAATTTCAGTGCCAAACAGTCTCCTCTACACCGGATGAAAAGATGGCTACATTCAACGAACCCTTTCCACGGCAATCAATGAATGTTTCATTTAATTCTGTAAATTTCAAACGCTTCGTCAAGCTCGATGAAAAGATTTTTGCCACAATACGTGTGGTTCCTAATCTTGCGTCTATTTACACGGCAAACGGACCAATCACATCACTCCGTTCAAGGTCACCCAGTGCTTTGGTGTCCGAATGCCTGCTTAGTGGCGTTGACTCAATTAACGTCGGATTTTTAGCCAAAATTGCAATGAAATTACTCACTTGATTGGAGTCCAGCCCCCAAAATTCCAATTCCTCCTCAAACAGCGGTCCACACACGTCCACCGGGTAGTGCAGCTTCCCGGTTCGATAGTAGTTGAGCACCTGAGCAAACACCCCCGGGTGTCGATCGAAAAAGTACTCGTTGAGAACGGGATCGTAGTTGGCAAGGGCTTCGGTCAGACGCGACAGACGCGTTGCTGGAATCTTCTTCAGCGTGGCCTTGTACGTCTCGTGTCGCACTCCGCCCACGTTCAGAATGACACGATTGTTGCAGTCCATTTGCACACCCGCCGTTGTCTGCAAATCGATAAAATCTGGTGTTTAAAGTGGCCAAATCGTTTACGCGAAATTTGAACTTTGTAGGTGGCAAATATTGATTGGCTGGACAGACACCTGCCAGTGAATATCTGTTTGCCTGCTAAGTTTCGAAATCTTCAAACCTTTTCCGCAAAATATTTGTTTTGTTAAATGACAGGTAAAGTTTGGGAAAAAATCTAGTCTTTTTTACTCAGCTGGGTGAATTTTTGTAGGTAAAATCGCTGAGACGCTGATTTTGACAAAACAGAACACAAACGCATTCGTGGCAGAAAATTTTAACGATTTGGTCAAATTTTTAGATCCTGTTCCATTGAAGTAGCCTTGTTTTATTTAAATTATTCGGAAAGTTTCGTAGCAAATATTATTTTAATAAAACCGCGTCCCTCTACCTTACAAGGAATTTCATAATTTAAGAAAAATTGACAAATTACTTTTTTATTTCCAAAAGATTAAAAAAATGGCAAATTACCGCTGGTTAGATTTGGAGATAGAAATTGCTGGTGTAAATCACGTTTCGCCAGGTAACCACATTATCCCATTTGGCGCTGACAATTTACCCACCACGTTCCAAAATGATGCCTGCATTTTGATTGGTTACTGGCGAATAACCAATAGGAAATTCAGCCACTCAAATTACTGTCATAAATAAACCGGGCGAATGGCGTTGTAATAAACTTTCACGCAATATTTTAACCGCGAGTCGGATTAAAGCAGCAGGCAGTTTCTTTTCGCAGATTTCAATACACTCCCATGATTTGACTACTGATTTAGGTGCATGAGTAGTATGCCTGGTTTACAGTAATTTTTACCCCAAAATACACATATTTAGTCGCTAAATTGTGATTTGCATTGCTACAGCTTTGTAAAACTTAGTTTACAGCCAAATGAGCAAGATTTTGAGGAAACGTTTGACTAGAAAAGTTTGACGCAGGCTAAGTAGACTTCACTGAAAACTCTTGTCTATTATAGTATGACTAAATTTTATCGATCGAGTGAAAAAAGACAAACCGGATTGGTCTGGGAGTGTCATCCAATCACCAGACATCGATTTTGCTCAGTAAGATGAGGTTTGGAATGTTTAAAAAACAACCGAACGGAGATATGACATCCCCTTGCCTCAAATCAATAACCATTACTCAAGCTCTCACAACCACACTGATAGCTGCGTTTTCAATATTTTGTTTACCAATCAGACCTATTCTGAAATCGACCAATCAGTAATCAGGTCATTTTTGTGATTGCCATTTGATTGGAGGACAAGTCTGAGGGAGTCAAGTGGTTCTCACATTATAATCGACTGTCTAGTGAAAGAAATATTCATCTTGTTTAAACCACAGCCCAACTCCGTTGTCCAAAACTTTCCGATTTCCTAATTGCTACGAGATTAAATTCTCAGAATATCATTCCTTATAGTTTTGACACCGGTTTTCAGTGTATCTACAATTTTGTCGATTTGTGAAGATGCGGACGCCATCTTCCAAAGAGTTGATACTGCGGCGGATACATCACAGACACTAGAGTGGGCCTCGCCACGTTCAATTACCCGCCAAATTAGCGCTACGAGGGCTCATCGTGTATTTTGAGCCAAATACTGTGGCAGATTTTGGAATGAATCATAATCCATTTTCGTAATTAATAACAAGGAGTAATTTAAATAGAGATTAAAATGTTTTCATGTTCGACTCGCACTTGGCTGGCCAATCGTCAATCACGTAAGGTGCTGTTTTTAAGCAAACGCATCTAATTTTCTTCTCGCCTCTCTCGTCTGGAGGAAATTTAGGCAGACAAAGTTGACGGTGCACGTCGATTTCCCTTGACACGCAGAAATCGATCTTGTTTTAATCGTTATCGAATTCAACGCGTTTTTTAAAAGACTTCTTGCAGGATTTTCCAGGTCCGTATCTGAGTTCAAATTTACGACAAATGGTTGCCTAATCTTGTATCGATTTTTTGTGACAGATTATAGAAATGTTTGCCTTCTAACTGGTTTTTCCATTCTAGCAGGGATTACGACGATGGCAACTGATACACAGCACGCTTGATGGCACTGCATTTTACACGATTTCCAACAAGATAAAAAAGCGCTTTTAAAGTACACAGGGCAGTTATTGATAGATACGTTTTAGAAAAGGTAGTTTTCGATCTTGAAGATGTGGAATTGCAAGCTCAATTGGATGATGAATCAACGAGAGCTTGTAGCTCAGTTAGGTGTCACACAAATAACTGTTTCCAAGCGTCTGCACGATCAAATGGAAAGAATTCAAAAACCGAACAAAACCTCCTTTACTACTTGTCCGCTGGCAGCAAAAAAGGACTACTTGTAGAAAAATGAGATGGCTGTTACGGGAATCCCAAACGTAAAACGTCGTGGATTCATCCCGGGCAACCCTGTACGCCAATACAGGACATTAAAGTGAAGAAGAAGAAGGTTCTCCTGTGTATCTAGTGGTGGGTGTTGAAGGCTATACTTTATTACCACCACATGGAAACTGGTCGTCAGACGGTTAATGCGGAACGCTTCTGACAGTTAGGTAAAAATTAGGCCAGACCCTTCTAATACTATTTCCTCTTTGCAGATTTCGATCTCGCAATTGCTTTGGAAACCAATCTACACCAGATTACTCGTAATTACAACGGCTTACTAACATAAATTTAGTAGTATCGCCCCTTGCGACCTTTTTCATTCTAAATTTTTGAAGCCTCTACGTACCGAGAATTGCGTAAAAACGTAAATAACCTGTCAGGTCATTTTGGACCACAGCCAATTCTAATTGGTCGACAGACAGTGCATCAAAAACTTAGCAGGAGGTTGGCTCAATCTATTCATTACCCTGACACAAGATCCCGTGATTATCATTTGACCGGGCTAGCACAGAAGTATTTGGTTGCTGCAATATTTTTTACGGCGTGATGATACTTACAAAAATTAAGTACGCTTTTTTTCAAAGCTAAATTATATTAACTTGAACAGGGAAAGCACGTTGAGGTGGGACTTTGGACACATTAAATACACGCAGATTGGAGATGCGATCCACCTGGGGAGAGAGGTGCATTGGTGGGTGGCGTCACCTCCTTAAAACACCATTTTGTGCGGATAGTCGTGGCGACTGAGGCTGAACTGCGATCTCAGGTAGGCTAGCAGAATCTTGGCGTTCTTTGTCCTCTTGATGGCCTCAATTACCTGCTTGTCAACAAGGCGTTGATCAATTTTCCGCTCGTCCTTCAACTTGTAAGCCTTTTCATCAGCCTGCACAAACAGGCTGTCGGCGTCTTTCTTGGACTTCTGTGGCTTTGAGCGCGCGAAGTAAGTCTTTGTTTGCATTCTCTTTGGTAGTTTGAACTACAAAAAAGCCGACAATAAACACTCTACTTAAACCATTTCAGTAACAATGACACTTCATGAACACGTACGCATTTCAGCTTGATTGAAGTTTTCGTTGCAATGACGTAGTCTGGATGGACTCGCCGAACTGGTATCCCATTGGCCTTGTACGGCCCGGTTACGAGGAGGAGACCCGAAAACCTGTGCCTGCCAATCAGGACAGCCCGTTTGCCTTTGTGTCTGCCGGCAAGAAGGATTACCACAGTTCCGATTTTTTGAAGCGATTCTCGCAGCTTCCAGCGCAGAATTCCACGATTCGGCTTGTCGCGTCGGCGACGTGCTGCTGAGGTCTTCGTTTTTTGGCCTTTCACCGGCTTCCCGAGCGCGTGGGTGGCCACCGGTGCACCATCACGACGGTGCTGAGGCACGCGACAAGGCACCTAGGACATTAAAATCCGTTGCTGTGACATTGCTACTGAAATGATATCAGTAGAAATGTATATTTAGAACTACCTGAGTATCGAAAGACCTTGGGAAACGTCCGCATTCGAGGTGACCGTTCCTCGGACGCTTGGCCTTTTTCTTGCTCTTCTCACCATCGGGTCTACTGTTGGGGTCTTCGGGTGGCCTGGGGCGTTTTCGGTCCTTCTTGTCCCCTCCCGAGGACTTGTCATCCCCTTTTCTAGGTGGTTCCTTGTCTTTCTTTGATTTTTTCTCCCCCTTTCCACTTTTCTGGGGCGGCTTCTTCCGTTTTCCGCCCGAATCCACTGCTTTCCTTTAAATTGTAAGCCCAACATTAAGTCAGGTTTGTGTACTAATCTATTTACGTGTATTTCTGCTCTCCTGAAATTAGTAGTATGCTCAAACGTCTTGCAAATGTATTTTTTTTTTCATAATGTTTAAGTTCACGCAAAAAATGCATTGGTTATTTCAAATAGTTTAAGCGCCGGATTGCTGTGCCATATTTTTAATGAAGCGGGAGGAGGGAGCCCTTGCACAAAGCATTTAGGTAAACTACTGCTCAAATGAAATGAGTAGTAATTTACGAAAAATTTCAATTTCTATGATAACTTTTGAGTGTTTGTGACAAATAAAGATGGAATTGAAGAGCTAGGCATGAGTTCTGACTCATTTTGAAAATTTTCGACCGTCTGATTTGGTCAATTTTTGAATTAAATAAATTTGCCTGCTAAACATGTAATCGCAAAATCTTCGTTGTCAAGCCAGATTAAAACAATCGCGCTGAAGGTAGTATTTGCCCAAGTTTCGCTAATTCGTTTAAGCATGATCGCTAACTGATAAGCCATATACGGTGTGCCAGAGTGCTGCTGGTCATATTTTAAATGAAGCGTGATGAAAGAGTCCTTCCATAGTGCGTTTAGGTCAACTAGTTTGTATTGTGCAAATACTACTGAAATGAAATAAGTATTAAGTTGTATTTTGAGATTAATTTAAATTTTGTTGATAAATTTTGAGCAATTGTGACGGAACTTAATTGATAGGCGTAAATTCTGACCCATTTTGAAAATTTTGACTGCTGATTGGGATGGTTTTTGAATTAAGTAAGTTTGCCTGCTCAAGGTCGCACCAAATTCGCTAATTCGTTTAAACTAAACCTGCATTGCATAAACACACATACACACACTCAATTAGGGTTGATATGACAACGTTATACAAAGGAGCGTAGGTAAATTCTGGAATGAGTTGAACAACCTCGTTTGTTTGAATGAATTCTAGTGTAATTGTGGCGCCATTTCAACTAGGGGTACAGCAGACTGAGCATGATTCAATCGATTATCGATAAATAAACAGATGATGTGGGATAGTTAATGTTTGGTGTGATTTTCGTTAGTAATAAATTAATGAGCACGGATACCTCAGTATCACTGTTGACTCTCAAACGTCAATTAATTGTTAGTAGCAAAAAAGACACTAAGTGGACTTGGTGTAATGCACAAATGTACTCACGATGATTTAGGAGCCTCCTTCCGCTTCTGTGATTGGTTTGAAGACTTCGTTTGTCGAGATTGTGCCTTCTGCTCCTTAGCGACGTCCTTCTTTGGCACTTGGGCTTTCGGTGGGTTCACGGCGTGTGGCATTTCCACATCGGGTGTGGCCACAGTCGCCGTCTGACTCCGTTGAGAATCCTTCTCGTCAATTTTCGCCTCTACGACTGCCGCGGACGTTTGCGTGTCCGTGGTCTTCCGCTTCTTGGACGCTTCCGCGGTTTTTGCAGACTGAGGTTTGTTGGTGGGTCGATTCGATTTTTGTGGAGGTTTCCGTGTGGCCTGCAGGTCTTCTGCGGGTTCAAGCTGCTGCTCACAGGTTTGGTGAACCACAGGAGGGGTCTTCGGTTGAGTTTTCGTGGACTTCTCCTTCTTGGTGGATGCCTTTTTCGTCGGAGACTTCTTTCTCGCAATTACTTCAGTCTTTAGAGGTTGTTCATCTGGAACACTTGCAATATCTGGAGTAGCTGATTGAACAGGCTGCAACACAGGTTCAATAAAAGGCTCCTTGTTTAACGGTTCTACGTGCGACGTAGGCATTCCACATTCCATCTTTGAGACCTCTTCAACGCAGACACAAGGCTCCTCGTCCATTGTGGTTGATTCTGATTTGGTCAAATCTTCTGATTGTGTGGTGGGACAAGTGAATTCAGCTGGTTGATTGATCAGTGATATCGGAGGGATCTCAACCTGATTAGGATTTTCTTTCGGTGGCGTCTGAAGGGATGTTTCCTGAAGGACTGGCTCCACCACCGTCATTTCAACGTCATTGTTGGCTGATGGTTCGAGCATCGTCTCCGTGTCCTCCTGACTTGTCTTGTGGACGTCCATATTGTCTGTTGAAATTTCATCCGCTGTGGAGGCGACAACTGGTTCAGAAACCTCCTCGATATCGGGCATTAGGTCGTCCTCCTTCAATTCCATCAGCAAATCAAAGACATCTGGAATGTGCGTGGATTCCAGCGTTTCTGATGGCGCGATGCCAACGGATTCCTTCAACTCGCTCTTGCCACACTCAGAGTCGGCAGACGTGGAACCAGTCTTTCGTCTCTTGGGAGATTTTGCGTCTGTGAATTCCACATCAGCCTCGGTAACTGGAGCGCCTTCAACTGGTTGAATTAGAGTCTCCTCAACAACCAGATCGGCGTCTCCAACAACTGAACCAGTGGCAGCCGGCTCCATTTCCACACCGTCAATTGCCTCTGGGGGTAGCGAACCTTCGGCTTCCACAGACGTCGAGTTGGCATTCTTCTTCTCACCCTTGTTCTTCTTGTTCTTTGGATGGCAAGCTGGCGCGGTTTTTGAAAAACTGGGTGAAACTCCTTCAGAACGCCTGGAAGACTCATCTTCCAGTGCTGGTGACACATCAGTGCCTCCAAAGGACTTCGCATTTCGCTTCCGTGGTTTCTTGGAACCCTTTTCCGTGACTGGGATCGGTTTATCACATGGCGCTATTTCCATCGTTTCGTGATGAACTGAATTCGAATTTTCATCCAGAACAGCTGATGCACAATCCGCAGGTTGATTTTCATCGCCACCGTCAGTGTGATGGACATCTTTGGTTTGGTTGAACGGTTCGTCGTGTGTTGAGGAGTTGGTAGTCCTGCGTCTTGCTCTAGACGCCTTCTTAGATTTGCCGGATTGCTCACCTTTTTCAGAAGAACTTGACTGCTTCTGTCTAGCCGTCTTGCCTGGTTTAGACGACGGAGTCGGTTTCTGAGGATGCTTGGTCTCACCAGCTTCCGCATTGTCGTGATGAGGATGATCTGGATGTGGCGGAGTTTGTTCGAGCTGGTTGACCTCTGTAGATCTAATAACCTCGTCACTTCCACAGGGAGCCACATCTCCTGGTTTCTCGTCATTTCGAAGCAACCCAGCCGATTCGCTTACATCGTCCTTCTCGGCTGATTTTGAAGAACTCTTCTTTCGTCGGGAGCGTCTCTTGTTGGCAGTTGACGATTCCGGTTCAACCATATCAAGGGAATTAGTGTTCCCCTTTTTGCCGTGGGACGGTTTGCTCTCTACACGGGGCACTTCGCTGGAATGGATCGGTTCTTCAGACATCTCGACGGGTTCAGCGGACTGTTGTCGAGTGCTTCCATCGGTTTCGTCGAAACTATCCACTGTGCCTTCAACACAAACTGGTGCGATTGTCGCATTGTTCTCAGCTTCGTGGTGTTCTGGCTGTAGACCATTGTAGTCACTAGGCGAATTTGGCGGACTGGCTTCGAGATTGGCGCTTTGACCTGGAACGGGTTGCTTCATGGGTTTCGTAGTTTCCACTGGGTGCGTCTCCGATGGTTTCAGACCCAGGACATCGCAGTATTGCTTGTACGTGATGAGACCGGTATTTTCGGGGTCAAACAGAGAAATCCACGTCGTCACAAAACTCTCCTTATAATTCATCCTCCGCATGTATGTCTTCAATTGGCTAATTGTAATCACACCGGAATTGTCCGTATCGATCGCGGAGAAGGCCTTCTGGAAGGCAGCCATGGCGTTAGCCCGTCTGTAAGCTAACAAACGTGCGACTAAGCCGGCAAAACGTGGTCACACTGACGTTGATATCGAGCGCGTCTGCGTGGACCAATCACACTGCTCGACGTAGTTGGCGCGTGCTTCAAACTCGCCGCACATCCTGCGTGCCACGCACGCGCGCGTGCGTAATTCTTCTGCCATTTTTTATTGGCTGGCGATTTGGTTGGTGTGTGTTCATAGGACTCCACCTAATCGCTGGAAAGCTTTCAGAGGGCACACAGAAATGCAATTTTGTGTGACCACGACTTGAGCATCACTCAGTTCATATTTTAAGGGACGTTCTTGTAGAGGTGAACTGGAATAGTCGAAAGGCTTAGAAAAAAACTGCCATTTTCTGTGCCAGAAATTGCTTCGGTGTTGCTGACATAAAGGTGCATTCAAGTGACGCCGAATGCGCCCCAGATTCCTATCTAAAGCACCAGTTAATTTTGTTGGAAAATTTTACTGAATGCGCACGACGTTTTAACGACGGTGGTTGGCCACACAAGTAGTACGTCTTTGATGACCCAATTTCTGGATTCACGGCTACATTGCTCAGGATGAAAAAGAGTTCGAAAATTTCGCTATTTTTTTCGTTTTTTTTGCATCGACAGACACACACACGAAATGGCAAGGATGGATCATATCTGAACCATATTTCAACCAATCACATGCCGACATTTAGGGAATTAAAAGCCAACACAGAGAGAAGGCAAGGTTATTCGTGTGGGATGTAGTGAAGGCAGGAGGATTAGTAAAATGCCAAATCAAGCAGACTGCACATTCACCGGATCCTCTGGGTCTCTTTGAGCTAGCCACCATTGTGAAGTTTTGGAAATGTTATGCTGATGTACGTTGCCTTGACAACGGATTAAGTTTCTATTACCCGGCAATTACCAGAGTTGTTGCCACAAATTCCAGAGGTGTCAGTAAAAGAATTTTTCCAAATTTTGTTACTTCCACGGAATTCCCTATACTTTACACTTGGCGCTTTCGCGAATCCTTGTTTAAATCAATCAATTTCGGAACATCATCAGCCTCTCGAGGTACCACTGATCGATACAACTACAACGATTGGTGGATCTAGCAGATAAGGACGAATGTTCCATGCACATTTCCCGAAAAGTAAACTAAAAAATATCCGTGAGCCTAAATGTTTGCATCACTGCGGTGTTTGCTTATGATTCCTACTCATGACCAGCCCGCAACCCTACTCCTCTGATTAATTAGCTTGAAATTTTCTACAATTGCCGGTCCACTAAAACAAGCACACAACCCATGCCATGCCGCAGTCAAATAACTGGTTGCTATGATGCAATCGTCAGTTTAGCTGGTTGCTGTTTAGCGCATTAAAGCCATTAATTCATCTTCACTTACTGTGAATAAGGTCATCGTGGTAGTTAGTAAACTGTTTTCGACGTCTCTTTGCGCATAAAATTATGGCTTAAATCCAGGCCGCGTTTTTTTCCCCACCGAGTACAAACGGGCACATTCAAGAACCCAACTTGATCAGTTGGCGCGTAGTTGAACAGATTTCGAAAAAAATTCACCCAAGCCATGATCTCAGTCCTGCCAGTTAGGCCAAAATTACCGCACAAGCCCATCATTTCCCCCCTCTCCCACTTTAATGGAGTCCTATCATTGGTCAAATTTCCATAAACTGCTCGGCTACTACGGGCTTTCGTGCAGAGAGCACACGAATTTGAATTGCCCGGCAGGCGCGCCAAACATTTAAACGGTGGCATAAAGCTTGACTACAGAGTTTGCCGCAAATGGGGTACTAGTCGAGATTCCTAAATCGATATAATGAGCCACCAGATGTTGACCAATCAAAACACTGGTGGTGGCAACCGAAGTCACCAATCAAAAATTACTGGAACCAAGATATTTCAAGCTCTGATATTGGTTGAATAAAACCAGGCGATACTTCTGCAAGTTGGATCAAGTCTAGTTCCCAGACCCCGCCACCACAATTTGACCAATGGTCGCCCTGGGGACGCTAATCACCATATCCTCAATTCCAATTGGCTGAAGTTCAAGGTCAACTACTCTCAGTTAATTTGGCCACTAACGTGGAGCTCTAAGTTGACAAAAATGTGGGAACATTTGTCCTAAAATTACAAAACACAGAACGTCTTTTTTACTCGTTTTGTAACCAATCAGGAGAAGGCGTTTGATTATTTAGTCTGGATTTGTCAAACTTGAAAAATGGCTTAATTGTGATACCCTCGAGAGCTTTTTGCAATGTCGACAATTAAAAACCAGCAAAATGCAACTAGACAACCATTACACTCTCTCTGTCTGGTTTCAGGTTAGGTGTCAAAATTAGCCAATCACAATCCAAATCGCGTTGTTTGAGCTCAGGAACGGGAAAAAAATCAATAAGTTTGTTTTCAAAATGTCTGCCCTCACCTACCTTCTGTGTCTAGCTGTCGCAGCCAAGTCTATGAGGGTGGAGTGGCTGGATAAAATGATGCTGGTTAATTTGCTGTACGAGGTCTACAGGAACGACTCCTTCACGGCGTTTCAGAAGTATCCCCTGGAGATATTCAGTCCCCTCTCTGGACCGTATTATCGACGATTGGACCAGCTCACCGACGCCGCGGCACTCCACATGGCGGCAAACGGTTTTCCCTCTGGCCAGCCAGTCAAATCCACTTTCCCGATCTACCCGCCATTGAGGAAAGGCCAATCCTTCATTTACAATGTGAGTTTTTGATTTGTATTCTTAGTTTTCGTGTACACTTGATTCACCATTTAAATTGCTGTATTGGCGGAACTTGCATGAGGACTGCCAATCGGATAAAACTTGGGTTTCTGACTTTGAAATCTAATTTACGCGCTGCTAAGTTACACATTTGACCTTAACTATGTACAATGCATGGTGTTTAATAAACAGGTTTTTGTGTCTATCAGACGTTTGCCTGCATTGTGATTGCATTAGTGTAACAAAACATGTTGCCTCAGTAAGACGCGACACGTTAAGGACCAGTTTACGATAATAGCTTTTCCTGGTGATTGGTCCCTCACAAGGACGTGACGCCATTGGCGGAGGCTCGCACAAGGCCCTGAACAACGGAACAAAACGCTGTGTAGCACAAACTAGTCCATTTCAATGTTACTCTTGTTTGAAATCAATGCAAACTACTGATTTTGGTCCATTAAACGCCGAGTAGATGTTACCTGCTCACGGAATCCAATTTCTGTTTTCACACATTCGATCTCAGTTGTGTTAGTCGTCAAGGGGTTTGCGTACAAGTTGTGTAATCGCATTATAACAACTATCCTACGTTGTAATTCATGTACTTAGTGATCCCATTACTCATCTGGTGCCTGCTGAGTTCAAATGAGCACACTGCCAAACACCCTGTTCTTTCGTGTGAACTCGGTGTGAAAATTCAATTCCAGCAGATTAACAAGACACACAATCACTGGCAGATTGACACCAACCCGTGGGGCGATAGTTGATTGGCTAACAAAATGCAGAAAAATCGATAAATTTTCAAAATGTCTGATACTGAATCAGACAGCCTGTTTTAAACTGACCGAGTTGTAATAAACACACACACAAGGTCACATGCAGATTTAAACAAGTCATCTCTTTCGAGGCTGGTGTTAGGTGCCAAACGCATTTGCACTTCGATGGGAGGCTGAGTTGTAGGGCGGTTACCCCTGGCAACCAATCAATGGACGTTAGAGGAGGTGTGAGGATACGCGATGGGACTTTATTTCAAAACAAATCTGGCTATTTTTAGCAACTTTCACATCGCAACCAATCCAGGGCAGTCTGAAAGCAGTGCACCCAACAATTTTGGTGTAGTGCGGAACCGGTGGAATTAAAAATGTCGGTGTGCTTCGTGGGGCTTTCTGTTTCTTCACAGTCATCGCACTGGGTGTGGCGTCTGCGTGATTAACGAATGTAGCGCATTGTGGCACAATCGCATGCCGTCAGATATGTAACCACGGTATACAAAATTGCGTGGGCTGGATTTAGTAAAAATATGACATTATAAAAAACCGACAATGAATGAAACCAATTTTAGGTTGTTGAGATACGGTAAAAAAACAGTCTCTTACACGATTGGCTAGTGACCTGCGAATCACATTCGCTGATCAATAAGATTCAACGTCTGACCAATGGCGTTACAGGATATTCTGTTTAACTTGAAATCAATCAATCAATTCTGCACATGTGTAGTTCACACGCTGTGGAGGATGCTGTCGCAAGACCCCTTGCTGTGAATTTGGTTGACCAGAAATGACAGTCAATATTTGACTCAATTCTTCGAATATTGACTGCTGCGTTGGGGTCGAACAAGGCTGCTGTGTGATGCGTCTGCAGGCTCATTTTCCAGAACACGCCTAAGTCACAGACGTCAACTAGAAGGGCATTGCTGATTGGTCAATTTTGAGCAGTCATGTTGGGGTACTCGGATAGACAGACGTGGGTGTGTGGTCTGGGCCGATGTCTCAAATGTGGGATGATTTTGTGGGTGGTTCACACTGAACCTCTCCCGCCTCAGCCATCACAAACGAACGGCCTGTTCTCTCATTTCGACCTTGGGTCAGACGATATGATTGGTTGTCGTCAATCGGATACGAGCGATTCAATTGGACCGTATCCATTTCAATGCACTTGCTAATTAGCACTTGCTACGTGATTCGAATTAAATTGTAGC